AGAATATACAAAACTATAATTTTGCCTGTGATTCTGTATGGGTGTGAAACTTGGTCTCTGACGTTAAGGGAAGAACATAGACTGAGGGTGTTGAGGAGAATATTTGGACCGAAGAGATATGAAGTGACAGGAGGTTGGAGAAAACTGCATAATGAGGAGCTTCATAATTTGGACTCTTCTCCAAGTATAATTAGAATGATCAAGTGAAGGAGGATGAGGTGGGCAGGGCTTGTAGCACGAATGGGGGAGAAAAGGAATGCATGTAGGATGTTGGTGGGAAAGACAGAAGGAAAGAGACCACTGGGAAGACCAAGGCGTAGGTGGGTGGACAGTATTAAAATGGATCTTAGAGAGATAGGATGGGATGGTATTGATTGAATTGATCTGGCTCAGGATGGGGACCAGTGGATGGCTCTTGTGAACATGGTAATGAACCTTCGGGTTCCATAAAATGCTGGGAAATTCTTGAGCAGCTGCAGAATTGGCGTCTTCTCCTGAAGGGCTCAGCTCCATGAGTAAGTAAGTAAGTAAGTTATTAGCAACTCTTCATTATAGTGATGGAGTCATTTAATTATTCCTGATATGGTTACTGTAGCACCCGTTAATTTAGCAACGATAATATGGTGTCTTTATGGCACTCTTTGTACCTGTAACGTTGAACTGTTACGTAGGAGGACCCTGAAAACCCTTTCTTTTAGATTACCACGGAACAGTTAGTGAATTATGATAAATCCATTGTAGTCATCCTCGTTCGAATAATGTTTGGGGAGGAGTACGGATTACGAAACATACCCCCGTCACTTACTGTCTTTTGGCTGCAAGCAGTCTTATCAGCACCTTCAGTCTGGTTTTTTCCCATAATGACCAAGTTCCACACCCATCCAAAAACTGCAGGAAAAATTATAGTTTCGTGTATTTAAATTTTAAGTTTTTTTCGACAACAGGCGAGAAGACAAAAGGTTCTGACCTGAATGGTTGCAACCATTACCTTATTTAATGTGCTCTTAATTTCGATCTGTTGCCGTCTTTCCGAAATACTGGGACTCGCCTCATTTTGAAAGGATCTTTAGTTATGTTATGCTTTTCCCTGCAACAGTTTTCTCTGTGTTCACTTCTAGACCAACCTCCTCACCGGCGTCAAAGTTTCTGTGTTTTTCGTCATGGTATCTGGTATCTCCCAGTAGATTCACATCGTCAGCGTAGACCAGCAGCAGGTGTGCCCATTTAATTTCAGTCACACCTGGCTTTCCTGAACCGTCCTAACGGCATATTGTAAAGCAAAGTTGAAAAACAGTGGCTCTAAAGCATCTCATTGTTTGGACCATTTTGGATAGGAAAATTATGAGACAAATGTTTATCTATAAGGACTTTACTATACGTTTCGTTTAAACACATTTTAATCAGCCTAACTAGTTTCATGGGTACCCCAGACTCTATGAGAATATTGTGCAGTGCTACCTCCTAAATGAAAATCACAGGCCTCCTTCAAGACAAAGAATAATTGGTGTACTGTATCATTGTACTTCCATTTTGTCTCCAGTATCTGACGAATGCAAAAAAATCTTATCAGTAGTTGTTGATATGTGACGTCGAAACACACACTGATGATCCCCAACAAATTCGTCCGTCCATATGTGGACTTACTTAACTTTGAGATAAGGATACTGGATACAAATTTGGTAGGAAGCTGTTAACAGTAACATGCCCGGATAATTACACGCTTCTCGTGTAGACTGAATGAGCTTATGGATCTCGGAACGTAATGTTTCACCTCCTGCTTGGATCATTTTTACCGGAATTTGACCAATACCTGGCGATTTGTACCTTTTGAACTTTGCATTTACTAACTAAGAAAAACTTTGTCATTTATGGGAGTCGTTTCATTACCGTGTTCACAGGAGCCCACCACTGGCCAATATCTTGAGCCGGATGAATCACGATCACACACTCACATCCTTTATCGTCAATACCAATTTTAATATTATCGTTTACCGGTACCTAGGTCCTACAGCTGTTCCGACCATATACTCGTACTTATCATAACCCCACCTGCCCTCACCTTCACCTTGATTTGACCCAGCCAGTAATATTCAGGGAGGTGTACAAGTGACTGAGCTTTTCACTCTGCAGTTTTGGTCCATGTGGTCTAGCCTTCCGTTCTGACTTAATGGACTTAGATTCAGTTTCACTTTGCACGGAGTGCACGTACTGTGGTCTGAAATACTGTTCTGAGAAAGGACACAACTGCTTTGACTCGCCAGTTAAATACGGGCAGCTGCTGGAATATAAACCTTTGTTTATGTTTGTTTAATGGGATCAAACGTTTGCCTGTCACATACGTTTGAAGTCTCGCCTGCTTTTATTCTTGCGTAAAATTGATACCTGGTTGAGCCCAGCATGTGGACATGTGCTATTGGCCTCTGTTAAATTAGTTTCGTAAACGGAAAACGCCTGTTTGTCGCTCTGGAAACCTCCGTATAAACTGATAACCCTTTGAAGTCTGAAGTACATTTAATAGTATACAAAAATTCATTTTGTACTTCGCTGGAAACGCATTACGTCTCCGCTACAGAGCCCAACCGGTTAATGCTGTTTGGGGAAACAGTCGCTGTTTATTGTGAGAATCATACGGAACACACAAATACGCTGTGTGGGCAGAATGCAGAGACTTTATATATAAGAATTCAGTCCGTACCTCACAGGGAACACATTACGTCTCCATAAGAGAGCCCAACCGGTTAATGCTGTTTGGGGAAACAGTCGCTGCTTATTGTGAGAATCATACGGAACACACAAATACACTGTGTGGGCAGAATGCAGAGACTATACATGTAAGAATTCAGTCCGTACCTCACAGGAAACACATTACGTCTCCATAAGAGAGCCCAACCGGTTAATGCTGTTTGGGGAAACAGTCGCTGTTTATTGTGAGAATCATACGGAACACTGTGCGGACAGAATGAGAGTTTTTGTCTGTTAATGTTAAAACGGGTGACTGTTACTCTCTTCACGGATGTGACGCTGCCATAGTCCAGTAAGCCGTTACCAACGTTTCCGAGAAACGTATTGTCCTCATTTTTAGGGTAGGAGAGACACTCTTCAGCCCTTAAGACAGGCAGATATGTTCCTCCGACCCATCGGAAACATGTACCAGACTTCACCGTATGACATTGTCACTGCGGTGAGAACGTCAGATTGCGCCGAAGTAGGTGACTTGCAGGGTTAAGACAATTTTTGTGTAATGGAGTGTTGAAATATGTGACAATGGCAAGCTTTACTGTGCGCACGTACAAGCCGATACGTGTTACTGAAGTAGTGCGGAGTAAAGTCCGGCTGTTGAAACCATCACTCGCCATGTAGCGGCTAGAGAACGCTTGGGCGATATTACTTGTATGAGTGTATGAGATTGGGGAAATTTCGTCAACATTTGCCGATTCCTCCCAGTTTGGGGTTAAATTCGGGCAGCAATGACGAACACTTTACATGAAGACTTATGCGCATGTCTCAATACTTCTCATGTAATACGCGAAGTATTGTTCGGAAGCAGAAATTTCTCAAACATAGCAAGTTGTACCGACAAGTAAGACGCGATTAGTGTTCAGTACACCTTTCCCATAACTCTTATTGTTTCTGAGATAATTTAACTAATTTGAATTTTATGCTTTGTTGTAACTCGAGAACCGCTGGACTGATTTTGATCAAATTTTGTATTGGATACCGTTGCTTATCTACCCCGCGTGTCGGAGGGAATCAGCAGTTTGTAGTCAACGAACTGCAAATTTACACATCGTATTGTTACGCAATGCTAACGTTTCCTCATTTGTTTCATGACTTCTTATTACATAAGCAGGTTCGTTATCAGCGCAAAATCATCGTCAGCATCCATCTCCATAACAGACTTCTGTAAGCACAGCGCAGGAAGGAGATTCTGAAGGGTTCTGACCATAGTGCGTAATATCGGAATTGCTGGGTTTTTGGGCTTTGTCCGTCGTCCGGTATTCTGGAGACTAGAGAACATAACGTTTCATATACTGGTCTGTTTCCGTCCTCAGGTGAGGCCAGCTACCCTGTTGAATCCTTCAAAAAGTCGAGTGATTGAAGGGACACAACAGAGTAGGTATAGCCCCCCTCCCACCTGAGGACGGAAACATATGCAATTCCCGAAATGTTGTGTTCTCTAGTTCTTAGAACACAAACGCAGCAATTCAGGATACATTCTTGTAAACTGTGACGTTAAGCGAATCCATTTTTACCGCAAGAGACGCAGGGAATGCGCAGGTTACGTTCCCCGGCATTTCTTAACATGCATTGCGACAGTGGGAACGCGACTGTATATTCTTGGCTATTTAATCTGCAGATTTGTACATTTAACATTTAGCGACGCGTCAACATCAAACGTTTGCTTAGGCGAGTAACTCTTGTCGGACATGAACAACGAAGTTAACGTTTTGTGGAGCCTTGCTAATGACACGGCCGCCCTAACTAACCAGTGCTTAGAAGAGTACTGCCGTCTGAGAGGTGTGACTCGGAAACGTGGTGTCTCCCTAGAGCACACTGAAAGCTGGTACAGTAGGAAGCAAACACGTTGCCTGCCGCTTGCATGTTCAGCATACTCTTCGACGGTGAAGACAACTGATAAGCGTCTACCAGACTACACGGCGTCGCATTCCATGCAGTAATGCAGTTCCTAGTTACTCAGATCTGATCCCGATATTGAACACAATCGCATTCTCTGAGATCATTTCTTTTTTCTATATTGCCCTCATGACGTCCCGCTTGACGCCAAATTGTGCTTCATGTCCCGTGTAAACATCCCGGGTTCAGATCTCAGTTATGCAGTTTCTTGGGACAATGCACATCCGGTATGCATTTGCCGGCATTACGGTGGAAGGTACGGTCTCCATCTTGAGCGTAGAAGCGTAGGCCTGAGGCAGCTTTCTCGCTTGTCTCGGTCTTTTAAAGCAAATGCACTTGATTCCCGCAAGCAGCTGCATACTTACCTGTTCTCATGGTTTCGAATCGGCTGTTTCATGTCGTTTCCCGTTTTCTTCTGTGCCCACGACGTCTCGCCAGCGGCGCCGCTGTCCTGCTGGACGACGCCATCGGCGTACAACGATTGCGCAGCACCTATTGTGACGTGACTGGGCCGACTGGTTTGGAGGTGCTGTTAAGGTGTTCCCTGCGGCCTGCTGTTGCGGCTACTGAGAACAGAGCAGACCCTCGATCTGTGAAGAGGCTTTTCACCCGAAACATCTGCAGCGCGGAACGCATATGGAGGGATACAGCGTGACGTGTCTGTCCTCGTCACACAGCTTTCTACAAAATGATCCATTCTTTGTAATACTTTTGAGCCATGTTATAGTATTTGTGTATTTATGCTGCCCTTGTATGAGACTGTATTCATACTGTTGGCTTCAGAGTAGTGGGTTCTGGTACGTGGTTACGGCGTTTCGGGGGAACGTACTGCCTCCATCTTGGAGGTACTTCTCTCATCAAGATGGGGGCAGTGGATGAGGTAGCTACTGTCTGAATGCCGCAGTAGTTTGATACTGCGTGTGTGCTGTAGAGCAGCGACTTCTGCAAGCCATGCAGCAAATCAATACAAGATGCGTGCATCGGGAAGGTTGCTGGCCCTTGATTCTCTTGCGAAATGTCGCAGACAACTGCAGACTCTTTATCGCTTCGCTTGTCTTGCGGACTGCGGCCCAAGGAGGGAGCCATCTTGGTAACGAAAAGAACGCTTATGATGTAGCGCGTTGGTCATGATAAGCGAATTCCGGAGAGTAAGATTCGGCAGGAGTCCAGGGTTCAAAGCGGATCCTATGTAGTTGCTATCGGTAGACCTTTCCCTGGGGTTAAAGCGGCTAGGACGTGAAGTGCCGGGGTTAAGAATTGTGCAGGTGTATCTTCACTTCATACGTCTTCATGTCGTGGTGCATAATTAAGCAGAGGTACAACCTTACCTTTACCGGATGGACGGACACACCTCGCGCGTACCGCTTCCTGCTAAATCACTTGCAGTTCCGTCTTCAGAATGTTGCTCCGGCCTGCCTGACAGAGAAACCGTGAAACAGTAGGAAGCATTGGTGCTGTGTGAATGAGACCGGACTGCTACACGATGATCCCGTCAGTCCTGGTTGTGACGCATTAGTCATGTAGGCGGATATGAACGTTTCGAAGGGACATGCTACTTCAGTATTCAAGGTCAGTCGGGTTAAAAGATGGAGTGCTTTTCTCCGAAGACTTTATGTCCCAGCCCAGAAGAAAACGGCAGGCAGTCTGTGAGGACCTCACATGTACGTAAACACGAGACTGTGATCCAGGCCGAAAGAAGCGTGCACAGAGCAGGATGTGAAGCCGTCCTCGTCACGTAAAGACTGCAGAAGTGAACAGCAAACAGCTCACAGGACGCAAATACCTAAAGCGGCTGGCGCCTCCACCTTGGAAGTCGGAAATTAAAAATTTGTTTCACGTCAATCAGTGCTTTCGAAAGAAGTGCAGTAACAAAGGAGCGGACCGCCTCCTTGGAGAGCCCTGATTGTACGCAACAGACGAGCACGGCGCAAGACATCACTTGTCCGGCATAGAGAACATGGCAGCCGTTTGCTCACGCCATCTGTTACGGAAGGAGAGACCCGGCATGGGGATGTCGATACCCACCGTACGTTGCAAACGGAATCTAGCAACTTTGTATTGCTGACGTATGGATCTGCGTCACTACCTGATGATGACGCTTCCTCGGACATGTACAGATACAGTTTAATTCTGGTAGGGTAGTCCAGAGGAGAAAGATGAGATCGGCTGCATATGTAGCACGCACGAGTTCAGAGTCTGTGGAGTGTAAGTAGGCCCGCCCGCCTCTTCACGCGCTGAAACGCATGGCATACTGAGTCAGACGAACTAACCGGAACCGGAACAGAGAAACAAACCCGGATGTAGCAGTTTCACTCCCGCACATTTCATGTCCTCATTCTGTGCTCTTGCTCCTTGCGTGAACTCCGTGGGCCCAGTAGCCCAGGTACCCCCACCCCCTCAGTAAAGGAGAGTGTCTACCAGAATGTTGGGGGGACACTTGTAAACATAACCGGCCAAAAGCATACCAGACTCGTGACTTGAGTAGTTGTGACTCAATTGGAGACGTGTAAATTATATCTCGGGTAATTATTTTAATTATGGGATTGTTCAGGTACGGTAACTCAGCTGTGACAGGTTTGGTTTTGTCTCGAGGGTCGCATTTGCTGGGAAGCCACAGTCAGTCACCCTTGTCACGAGTTCGTGTGCTTGAATTTGAATTGCTAGAGCCGCCAAGGCGTTAAGATACGGTGATGTAGAGACAACTCCAGATGGTGCATCCTTTGAAAGAAGTTGAGACGTATTAAACAGTCTTTAGTATATTCATGGAGAGGCTAAGGAACACGTCCATTATCTTCTGAAGCTGACACAAAGAGGCCCGCAACGCACCAGCTCTTCCTGCTGCCCGACGCCAATACAAATCCATCATTTGCGATTAATTCAAACAGAGTTCCTTACCCTTAATCAAAATCGTATCGGTCAGATGTAAAAACCCCCGCCATTTAAGCTAATGTACTCCACAGCTGCGAGCTACGAACTCCCGTCCCCACTTCAGCAGGCTGGCCCCCTCGACACTTTTACCCTCGGTCCGGGCCCCTGACTTCAGCTTCTTGTCGCATCCTGATACATGCAGCCGGTCTATTTCTGAATTTCGAATTAACGTCAAACGAATTTGTTACCTTCATTACCGTGTCTGTTGAGCCCAGTCAAATACCCATTCAAATGAACTATATTTTGGGCGGTCATGCCAGTGATAACTATGAAGATTATTCTGTTCTGGGGTGTGACGCCGTGTAGTCTGGCGCATCTCCTATGAGACTACACGGCGACACATTCCATGAGATTTTACTCTATAAATAAATATGTATTTTGTTCAACAACAGCAGGCAGACTTGTTTCACTTGTTTGCCTTTCTACTTCATATTTTGGACAGGTGGGGGGTTCTAGGTTCAATTTCAGAGTAACCTGGTGATCCTGACTGGGACTCTTTGTGGTTACCCTTGGTCCTTCCGGGGAGATGTTGAGACGGTACCTTTCACGTGCTTTCCAATTTGACATTCACAGACCATGCTGTCACTTGATAAGTGAATTCAGCAGCTTTCTGGTTATTGCAGAAGTGAGTGTGGAGTACTTCAGAGGCTTACCTCAAGTGACTGTCCCTCTGCCATCTCGCCGGGAGCGGTGTCGATTTACTCTTCGACCTGTCAGTAACACTGTCGGTGATTTCTTGGCCATGTTGTGCCACGAGGACCATGGCATCGACCGAGTGGCTGTCAGCAGTGTAGGTAAGTCACGCCCACATCACTGTGCACAGCAGTTTGGAACTTTATGCATGTGCAGGTGCAGTCTAAAGGCAAGAATTTCCTTTTTGAAATATATCTTTACTTTTTAAGATTTGCTGTTCTGTAGTAGGATGCAAGCCATCTCATCGTTTTGAAACTTAGGAAGCACAGTGTGAAGCACATGTAATGTCGGTTGATGTAATTGTTTACAGACGGAGTTAGAATCGCGTCCTCCAATACAATAGAAGCTCTGATGGAGGATGATTTCAAACTAATTGTCAACGACAATGTCTACTTAGTAAAAACTCCTCGGCAAGAGAGGCTGACAAAGGTGAGGCTTCTGAGTCTCTAAAATACAGCATGAAAGAACAGAAAGCTAAATAAGCTCGTCTTACTGTATATTTTGCTGGGCAAAGGTGAGAAAACTTATTTTTATTATTATGTCCATAGTTATGACATTCAGAGAATGTTTTTAATATAAAGAGGGAGACATGTATTTGCAAACCGTCCATGAGAATGTTTATGTCATGTTTTGTTTAGGAAGAAGTCCGTCAGTTGTCAGATGTCAGGAATTTGGTGAATCAGTTGTATGAGGCACTCAATGTAGAGGAACATCAGTTGAACAAGGAACGCGAACTGTGTGGCCAACTGGAGGAGCTCAAAGTAGAGCTTGAACCTCTTGAACAAGTGAGTATCAGAAGACTGTGAGCCAGCATTCATAGTTTGTACTGTAAATGTACTCTTTGTGTGTGTGTGTGTGTGTGTTTTTTTTTGCTACCGTGATGCTTGTTTGAAATAAATCACGTTTTTTTATGGAATGTATATCAGCTCCAAAATAGAAAACATTCCAAAGCTGCGTTGCCTATTTGAGCAGAGCATGATGTGTGCATCCTTACAATGGTGAGGTTATGTTTGCCTATCCATCAGCATGTTACAAAACGTGTTCAGCAGATTTTCATGAAATTTCATATTGTGAATTTACATCAGACATTGATCAACATTTTTCATTTCAGTCTGTGTATGATGTATGAAGCTCAATCAAACTTTGTCTAATTTTAACCCATTGTGTGCTAATGATGATCCCAAATTGTGGAAATTCAAAGAGCTACCTCACAAATCTGAATAGACATTTTACAGATAGCGTTACCTTTGCAGCATTTAAACTGGATGGCATCTGAGGGTAAAAAGTATTCACTTAAGAAAGTGAATGCAATATATTGACTACAGAAGAGTATGCAATTCTAATTCTAAACATTTTTCACTGTTTGTAATGTGATGCTGGGGGCACGTGATAGCGTAGTCGGTTGAGGCACTATGCTACAAGCTGGAAGGTCGTGGGATCTAATCCCGATGAGGTGGATTTTTTCAATTTAGCTAATCCTTCCAGCCACACTATGCCCCTGGGGGTAAAGGACGGCCTGCTGGCATGTAAGGCTGACAACCTCACTGCCATCTGTGAGCCGATTGTCTAGAAAATGTGGGAGCCTGAACATCTCACAACCCTCTGGGCCTCCACGGCCTGTTACAGGGATAGCTTAACTTTACTGTAATGTGAAGCTGCTTCTAGCAATGCTTTTTATTTCCATTCTGCAGACATGCTTGTACTTTAAGAAACTGAATCTGACGGTGCAGTTTGTAATTTGGCTGTTACAGTAATGTTGTGTGAATGGTGTAAGTACTGTAGACAGTCAGCAGGAATGTTATTGCCAAGGCCAGCCTCTAGTTACATGCACAGTTCAGATCTGCCAGCCTTTGATTTAAGAGTTATCTGGTATGAAGTAAACTTGAAGTTCTGAAAATATCAGATTCTAGGAAGGTGGGATGTGCATACATTTTGATTGAAATGTAATATTTAGCTTCAACTTTGCTGGCTCCACTTTCTGATTCTTCGAAAAGATGTCAGTAAGATACATGCACAGGGAGCAGGCACAGTTCTCCTGTCCTGAATGAAGGTTAGTGAGCCTTGAAGAAGGTTAAAGTGAGGCACTACAGCAGACGGGATAGCTCAGTCAGTATGGACAGCCTGGGGTGAATTCCCAGCAGTGCAAAGATTTGTCTCCTCTCCACAGTGTCCTGTCCAGCTCTGGGGCCCACCCAGCTTCATCTCCAGTGGGTACTAGGGGGGCTGTTTCCCCAGGGGTGTAAACCTGAGCACTCACCTCCATCTAGTGGAACTGTACCCTCCCTCCACTCCCCCATACATCCCTATGGCATAGTGGGTAACTAATTAAGCAAATGGACAACTTTACTTTTTTTACTACACCAGGTGGTGATATTTATTTGTATCCAGAGCTTTAGTAGAAAGAAGAGATTATACTCGTTTATAATGCTGGCTAATTACTGCTTGACAGAACTCTGATAGACAAATCATTTCATATTCCTTAATATGAGTATATGGTGATCATATATGTATACATACATATGTTCATTGATTAAGATCCATTCTTATTATCCTCTCCTTGCGTAGGTCAGGTTTTCAAAGTGAAATTCTATATGCATTTATGTTCTCCCCAAGCATGCCCCAACCACTGTAACAATATGTGAAGAACTGTGAAGTTGCTCATTATCCAGTTTCTTTGTTCACCACCGTAGATGCAGATATTCCCTTCAGCTTGTGGTTCCAACAAGTAAAGTTGAGGGCCATGTGTAGAGGTCTCATTTGGTGCAAGTTGGAGGACGTTGCTTCCAGTGATACTGAAGCCTCTGAAGCATAAATTTTCCCTGGTGTACAGTTAATTAGAATGTCATGAAAATGTCTGAGTATGGGAGCCGGATGCCCAGATCAACGTAATCTTGACCTCAGTACTAGATAGAGGTGAGAGGTCAGTTTCATGCCCCAGCCGCTTTACTTGCGGGGAAAGAGCCACAGTACCCATTGATAGGAGGGTGGGTGAGGAGTGGAGTCAGTCTGGACTCTGTGGACAACACAAAATCTACTGGCATTGCTGGCAGTCGAACCACAAACCCTTTGTTGTCCAGCCTCTGTGTATACTGACTGAGCTGTCCCAGTTTCCATACTGAAGTGTACGTACAGTTTTCTTAAACACACAGTGTCACCTGAGGCAATTGGAGCAAGAGCGAGACCATTTGCATTACTGGCATCTTGAAGTAAGGTTTTCACACTTGCGCGGTTTACATGCAAGATGTATGAACGTGAATGATGCGAGTGATCAGAATGTTGAATGTATGAATGTATAAGTGGTGGGCCTTCTCGCCCCTTGCACCGCGCCCTACAGTGATCTCTTGTGATCAGAATGTTAGTAGTGGTTCTTCAGAAAAGTGCAAGCCATCGATGTAACCAGAATGGAAGTTTAATAGCAGAAACATAAAGGTACAGAAATATGACCTAAGACATGATGGTAATTGGATCAGAAATAATGGAAAAATTCAGCTAGCTTTCTGGCTTAGAGCACACTGGCAGCAGAAATAGGTTATGAATGCTAGAATAGGTGTCCTATTCACTACATATGTCAAATGCCAAAATAACACCACCACTGCCAAGAGGGAAGTTCAAAAAGTTTGTTTCGTAAATTTACTTCTCTCAGATCATACATAGGAATGTATTCAACACTAAAGTCAGTTCTCCACAGAATCACTCTGTGCCCTGCCACATCCCGTCAGCACACCAGTTTATTGATGCCTCTGTGGAAGAATTGTTTCAAGTACCTCAAAATCATGTTTGAAATGATGGCCCAAAAGAAGCGTTTTCAGTGGTGCAAACAGCTCATAGTATCTTGGGTCCAGATAGATGCAGTTCACTATCTGTGGCAGTAACTCTTCAGTCATCCCTTAACAAACGCTTCCTGCCTAGGGTGCCCATACAGATCATATTAAAGTCTTTAAGGTAACAGAAATACAAATTTTGGGATGTTTTACCACAAATTGTGGAGTATGGAGATATCCCCATTTTGCTGAAAGGTATATTCAATTAGCAGTTTGTGGATATTAATCTTTAGGCTTTCTCAGAGATGAGAAGGCAAAGATCCTAATTTAATTTTCCCTTTATTTTTTGTGGGAATAATTTTGATGAAGTACTATTGTTACCATATATATTTTAAATTGTTTACATTTTTAAGTTTTTTTTGGGGGGGGGCGAGAGGCTATCTGTCCAGCTTAATTTACTCCTTCATTCTTGCTGTGAGATGTGAACATATTGGTCCAACTGCATTTATTTCTAGATGAGTCGTTACTACAGCAGAATTGTGATGCACACTTTTCTGAAATATTGAATAAAAGGATATAGAGATGCAGACACATTTCTTGCCATATAAGTCACAGAGTACATGTATTTAATGGTACACTTCATCTGAATTTGAAGCTTCCTGAAATAGTGAGCGTATTTTTAGGCTGTTAAAAGTACGTATGCACTGAAACAAGGAAACAGTTTTGTATCTGCATCTGACTCTTGTCCTGTTCTTTGCCTGCATCACAGAAGCGACAAGAATTGGAGACCGTAGCAGAGCGACGTACCACTATCCTCACATGGGTGGGCCTAGGCCTGATGTCTGTGCAGTTTGGTATCCTGGCTCGTCTCACTTGGTGGGAATACTCGTGGGATATCATGGAGCCTGTCACATACTTCGTTACATATGGCACAGCAATGGCTGCATATGCATACTATGTTCTAACGAAGCAGGTAATGTCATAATATAGACATGGTGGGTTGTTGGTCACCTGATGGGCTGGAGTTCATTGTCTGCCTTGTGCTGGCCCCACCAAGAGATTGTCTGTTGGAATTTCTTTCATATGTAAATGCTGTTTTGTCCTACAGATGTCACTCAGATGCAGAGAAATGTTTGTCAAAGCTTGAAAGATTTGAAAAACAGTGACTGTTGTTTGTTCTCTTCAAGTTCTGTTTTGAATGTAGTAAGTGCAAAATCCAGTTTTTGTGTAAATTGGCAGGTGGACAGTTAGAATCTTTGTGTGGGCACATGGTAACAAGTGTCTTTGGAGGGCTAAGACTTCCCTGCTTCAGATAAAGCTCATGAGTCAATTTTCAGTTGAATCAGTTCCTAGTGCCTTGTTACTCAGATTTGTATTAACTAGTATTTACAGGTGCCTTACTGAGTTGCACATGATCTTTACTAATACTTCTAAAGTATCTGAAAGGTTGAATACTAATTTGTAATTTTTTAATATGTTTAAAATGCACGTTTGAGAAGCCTGATTTTTTTCATCAGGTCCTACTCAGTTGGGCCTGTTAGAAGCACATCCGTCATCAGGTGCAGCTTCTTCTCATGGGCCCAACTGAGTAGGAACATTCTGCTCGCCTGTACCCAGTGATGAAAGCAAATGCAATTTCCAGAATACTGTATAATTAAATTTATCACAAACCTTTATAGAATCATAATTTTCCTTTTGCATTTAGGGTGTCTCTGGAAACAGGGATATGCATTATAATTTGCAGGCTTTATGGCATGGCTACTGTGTTGTTGTGTATGATCAAATTTTGAATGTCACATATTTATGTATGACTTCCATTTCAATTACTGGACATAAAAAATTTGGTTTGTGGTTACTATACAAGGAAGGATAAAAAGTTACCAAAATTTACTTGTATTGAGATAACTGTGGTTCCTGTTAAAGTGACAGAAGTGGGGGGAGCGAACTGGAACAGGTCGAGGCACAGTAGTGTGCTGCCATGCTGCCAGTGCTCATTGCGATATCCAGGTTTGAACACTGGGCAGACTCAAGTTTTTTGCAAACTAGGGAATTTGGCAGCAGAAACAGTCTTAGGCCCAAATGCGGTTTATGGAGACAAAGCTCTTAAAAAATCCAGTGACTAGGTTAGCTTTTTACGTATCCCATTTACTAAAAAGATGAGTGAATTATGGGAATGTTTGATCCTTTCATGATTATTCTTAGTCCATATGTTATCCAAATGGGTTTTTTTT